ACGCAGGGCAACTTTCTTCGAACACTGCAACGAATGCACTGTGATGTCATGCTCTCTTGCGTCCTGTTCAAAAATACAATTCAACATATCACAAATATTGATAAATGCAAAATGAAAAAAAAACAAACATCTACTCCATTTTTCTTCATCACCAAAAACTTACAGCTTTTCTGTTCTTTTAATTAAGCTAATTATGTACTGTAAGACAATGATACGAAAAGTGTGTTTTTTTTATGTGGTTTAGCTAGCTACACTTTTAGAGTAGCAAAAATTTTTCACACATTATTTAAAAAGTTCCAGTGTTCCAAAAATGTTAAATTACACATACTTCCATAAGGGTGCTGGTCCAGGCGATCAACGTCCATTGAGATGAATAGGAATTCTAATAGGTAGCATTCTCCAGGTATATGGAAACCTGGAAAAATTGCAAGCTGATTGGGACCCATAATAGCTTAAAACAAGTTAGACAGTGGCATTTCTGAAAAGTAAACATCAGCTAAACTGAACATTTTGCATTAAACCTGGTAGAAGTGTCTGATGCTTTGTTATGGGAAGGCAGTGTTAATCCATTACAAAGAGATAATACCTTGCGGGACTTCTTCAGAAGGTCACTTGAGGATGCTATAGACTGTGATCCAGACAGCAGAAGAGAGACTGTGACATTTATCACTAATCTTTATGCTTCATTCATGAATAGACCATTAAGCCATACAAACGCAGGATCAGGAAACGATAAGAGAGGTATCCGGATTTGAAGGTGTAGCCTATAGCTGTGATGGTTTGCTCTGATAAAGTGCATTTACTGTACACATTTGAATAGAGAAGGATGATTGACAGGTTTAAATGTTCTTCCTGACCTCCTAATTTCCAATATCTCACATAATTTACTGCTGAAGTCTCTGACCTCCGGCGCCTTCACTAGGAAGTGCTCAGACTCTTTCCTTTACAACCTTCAGCACTTCCACATATTCAATTTCAAACATTCAAGTCAAGGGCTTTGTGAATGACTAAATACTGCTTTCTAGAATCAGTGAAATGAGCAGTTTTTTAAATCTTGTGTTGATGTATTTTCTATTGAAACAGGAAGTTTGGGTCGGGCAGAAGCTCCTTTTTTAAGTAGTCAATAGCCTTCAGTTTACATCAGAAATGTGAACCATGATTGGTTCACCATGATTATGAACCATCAAAGGCAACTGGTATTAAGGGGGAACGATGAGAAAAGTTTAATATGCGCCTCATCATCAATGTTTATTTTTACCAAAAGAGAAATGTATATCAGCTAAAAGTCAATTTGGTCAGCTTTTATGTGTAACGTACTTTAGGAGCCTGTTTTCACCTCACAGTAAATAAATAAACTCTTTGCAACTTCGTCTCACAAATTAACTTATATTAACTAATTATTTCTCGTATAGTTGAAATTACTTGAAATCTCAGAATGTAACTTTATATCTCACAATTATTACATTATATATCACATATGGCACCTTAGTTTCCTGTAATTACTTTACAGTATATCTTACAAAGTGACTTCATATCTTGCCAATGCAACGTTGAGTCTCGTAAGTGTGACTTTATCTCACAGCTGCAACTGTATCTCACAATTGCAACTTTCTCATAATTGTGGCTTTACAGCAGATCTCACAAAGTGCCTTTACATCTAACAATTCTGGCTTTATATTTCACGAATGCAACTTTGTTTCTCGTAACTGCGACTTTTAATCTCACAACTGTGAAAACATAAATCACAGTTGTGAGATTTTCTTGTCATTTAAACTATGCAAAATAACTTTATTTCTCTAAATTGCGACTTAGTTTTTCATAATTGCAACTTGACAGTATCTCACAAAGTAACTTTACATCTCACAATAAATACCTCATACATGTGCCTTTGTTTCTCATAACTGCAACTTTATATTTCACAAAATGACTTATATCTCAGTAGTAACTTTTATGACTTTTTGTCCCAATTGATATATTTACAGGCTTTATACCTTGTAGTTGAGACTGCAAGTTTATATTTCAAAAGTGTGACTTTTCACTTTTTACTACATCTACATACTGATTTTATTCAAACTTTATCTCACAATGTTTTATTACCCTGAGGCCGTCCTGTAGCTCAAACAATAGAACATGGCACTAGTAAAGCCAAGGTCAGGTTTGATTCCCAGGGAACGCAAAAACTGATAAAAAGTGTACCTTGAATGCAGTGAAAGTTGCTTTGGATAAAAGCATCTGCCAAATGCATGAATGTACTGTAAATGTAGGCAGAAATGGACTTCTTTATAGCATATATATGACCTCAAGGCTAACTAATATGCACACCTTTTCACTCACTGCTGTTCTGGGGGATTTTACATTTAACATTTAACATTTCCTTTCATTGAGCTACTACCTTGATTCACTCACATCTTGTTCCAGCAGGTAAAGAAAACTCCAGAGACTGATAGATAATCACAGCTAATTATCACTCATGCCACAAAATGAGTTAAATCGCTAACATTATTCAAATCAATCTGAATGCAGGATAAAGATAACTGCATTTTATGTCATAACTCAGCATCAGTAAAAACCATTCCTGTCTCAGCCTTCCTATCCAGAAATTAATTTGCTGAAACCAAAAGAAGAACAAATACGCAGACCAACCCATCAAGAGCACACAGGGTATAGAATGCCACACCATCCAAAACCGGTCTCCATGGAAACCTGAGCCAAGAAGCCCGCCACAGCATTTACAGCAACCCTCAAGTATATATTTCTCTAGAGTTCAGGGGAAGGCGGGTGACCACCACTATAATTCAGTGGAGTAAGACATATCGTTTGCTGAAGAGCTGCTTTAACGCTTTGCCTTCGGCCACCTTTAAATCTAGAACAAACACGCTGTAAGCCCATGGAGGCATTTTTATCCTCGGAGGAGATGCTTTTATGGGCGCTGATGCGTTTTTTGGCACCACGCGTGATTTTTCTAAACCACTGGACCACACACACATCATTTTATGGGTATGAATTCAACCATCCCAACTGAAGGCCCTGCACATTTCTGAGAAACGCCGGAACAAAAAACGTATGCTAAGCTGAATTTCAAACGCTTCCCTGGAATTGGGAAACTCAAAGGACAGAAGGCCTGTGTGTGTGTGTGTGTCTGGTGTGTGTCAGATAGCTCTGTGTTGGTGCACATTTAGCGAGACAGTCAGTTGTTCAGAAAAGAATAACACCACAGGGGACGTATGTACATTACTTTATCAGAAGATGAACATTCATCACAAACTATCAGTTATCAGTTCGGACTGCTGAGCGAATCACTGGTACAACTCTCCCCACTCTCCAAGAGCTGCACTCATCTAGAGTGAGTAAAAGGGCTGGCAAAATCATTCTGGACCCCTCACACCCAGCCCAGGCCTCTGAACTGTTGCCGTCCGGTCGGCTCTACAGAGCACTGAGCACCAGAACAGCCAGGCATAAGAACAGTTTCTTCCCTCAGGCAATCCATTTTATGAACAATGAACTCATAAGAACAGTTTCTTCCCTCAGGCAATCCATCTCATGAACAGTTCACTTGGCAATAAACGTGTAATACAAAACACTATGTAAACATTTATTTATTTAAAACATCATACTACTTTTTCACATTTCCATGCATTTGTACATGTACACACAAATGCTGTCTATTGTCTATTTGTATATTGTGTATTTTTAAAAATATTTGTTGTATATTGGGCCCGAGTCAATGCTGTTCAGGGGGCCCAGAAACCATAGCGGCGCCCCTGCTCATATGTGTAAACATACCTGGCAATAAAGCTCTTTCTGATTCTGATTCTGAACAGTGCAATAAGTTTTCTGCACAACATGACATTATTGGACCACCTCAGGGACAATGGGGCTGTTGATGGCCATTTATATTTAACTAGGTAAGTCAATTATACATCAGTGTAAACTCTTTCACGCTCAGATTCTAGGAAAGCATTCAAAGTCTCATACTGTGGCACTAACACCTGGGAGACAAAGCAGAAAACAAAAACCTGACACAAACAAACGCGCGCACGCATCGGCCTTATGGAGGGAGCTGGTACACACAGCAGAGAAACTGACACGTGCAAATGTTGTATTACGCACACGCACACACACACACACACACACAGATTAATAAGTGAGAGCTAAGGAAATGACCTGTCATATTACAAACACCTGATCTGTAAATATTGATTAAACTTTGAATAAACAGCACTGAATAAAAACAAGTGACAGATGGAGAGAAAAACAATAGAGAGCAGACCAGATGTAGTAGCCTGAGATTATGTTGAAAACAGCATTTCAGCAAACAATTGTGTAATGTTTCAGTTCTTGTATAATTATTATACATGCAGTTGAACTCGTATTAACTAACTACATGAAATATTTTTTTAAATTTTTTTTTATTAATTTGTCACACTCCAGAACCGTATAAGTGGACAGCATAAAAATGTGTTTTAAAGGTATGAAAGCATAAAAATGTGTTTTAAAAGTATGAAAAAAGAATCGGTAACCAGTCCCAGAACATAAATTATAGATTAGAAATAAATGGTTAGAAACATAGATTTAAAAATGTATATAGTGATGTGAAAAAAGTCAAAAGTGTTACCTGTTACCATCAATAACAACTTTGTTGGATAAAAGCATCTGCCAAATGCATGAATGTACTGTTAATGTAAGTAGAAATGGACTTCCTGGCATATGTATGTCCTCAAGGCAAACTAACATGTACACCTTTTCACTCACTGCTGTTCTGGGGGATTTTACATTTAACATTTCCTTTTATTCAGCTACTACCTTGATTCACTCACATCTTGTTCCAGCAGGTAAAGAAAATATAAATAAAATGTATAAATAAATCAAATGTATTTAAGGGTAATGTCAAACAAAAATGGACACTTCGGAAGCATAATTAAGAAAAATTATTTTAATATTAAAAGACATACATATAAAAAACAGTATGACATGATACATTTCATAATTTTTCTAGCCAAATTAGATGTATAATGGAGTTTCAGTACATTCCTGTGACAAAATACAAAAAGTCACGCAAGGACACTGTCTGTTTCTCCTCCTTCAGTGTCTGTTGTGTTTTCCACAGCTCAAGAGCAGTATGAAGTCCAGAAAAACACAGCTTGTTATGTCACACAAACACCTGTTGGAGGTCAGATGGTGGGATGTCTGCAGGCTGCAGGCTCTGGAGCAGCCGCCGCACTGTGGCTTCTCTTCCGTTCCTCTGCGTCCACATCACCAGCCCAGCGAGCACCTGACTCTGAATCGCGAGGGGGTGGTCGGCGCAGCACCGGTACAGATCTGCTAAGGACAGACCCAGGTCCAGCAGCACAGACTTCCACTCTGAACTGAGATGAGCGGCCAAGCGGTTCAGATGCTGCGAGGTTGGAACAGTCGGAAGGATGTGGTCAGGAACACCACACTGAACTGAAAAAAAACAACATATGATTTTGAAGAACTGTGTAACACAAACACATCTCATTGAAATAATTACAGCACAAAACCAAACAACAAATACTGTAAGGAAATCGGGCTGGGAATCGTGCGATTGTTTGCATTCAGAACTGGTTCCATTTTTTGTAACCGGGTGATTTCCGTGACATTCAGTTCTGTTAAGGGTTCTTTAACATCTCCTATTGTGTAGTCCGTTTTGGTTGCATGCAACAACATACAGCATGACCAGTGTAGTCCAATTCACAAACAAATGGGTTTTGAACTGAAATAATTACAGCACAAAACCAAACAACAAATATTGTAAGGAAATCGGGCTGGGAATCGTGCGATTGTTTGCATTCAGAACTGGTTGCATTTTTTGTAACCGGGTGATTTCCGTGACATTCAGTTCTGTTAAGGGTTCTTTAACATCTCCTATTGTGTAGTCCGTTTTGGTTGCATGCAACAACATACAGCATGACCAGTGTAGTCCAATTCACAAACAAATGGGTTTTGAACTGATTTTTTTTTAAATCTGTGAAAAAGACACTATATGTTGTATTTATAAAAACATTAAAATATATTACCAAAAATAGTAGGTATGTCAAGTCCGAGGTCTTAACCAACTGAGTTTAAGACGTTAATTAATGTCTTGTCATCTTAATTTTATGTTATCCTCCATGAAACACATGATGTGGATTCGACTGTACTCTGTAAAAAAAGTCCAAAATGTCAGAGTCCATGTCAAGATTGAGTACATTCTAATATATATTAGAGTTGGGGTACTTGAACTCGGAGTGAAATTAAGAATGAACTCAGGTGTACTCGATCTTGACACGGATTCTGACATCTGCTTTTTTTGGTAAAGTTATATATTGTTAAACTGAATCAGAATCATTCAGAACTATCTAATTTATTACGATTCCAGGAAAATAAGAAACAAACACTGAAAGCAAAAGAATGTAAAAGAATGAGGTACAGCATGTTTTATTCATATATGCTTCACCTTGTTCATGCACTCAGGTTGCCACTGAACGGCTTGAGGTGACAAGCCATGCATGTGTAATTTGGACCTCAGCAACGGAGGTTTGAGGGGGTCGGGGGACAGAAAACAGCATCTCTTATATGATGTAAGCATATTTATTTGAATAACTCACACTGGCACTGCACCATGACCCTGAGTGGAACAGCTCAAACTGCTGAATAAAATGTGATATTGACAACAATCCAGCAGTGATAAATCTCAATCTACATGAAGTCAAAACCTATGTACTGGATTGACCGAGAATTTACATATAAGATATAAAATTCATTTACATTAAAATAATACATAGGCCTACATATAAAAAAGCAAAAACACCATTTAATCATATTGGAAGAGAAGGACTAGGAAACATATTTAACCATTCAAAATTTCTAGGTGGCAACATCAACATCCAATCTTTCTGTCCCTGTGCAATAAAGACACGTCAATGTTTTCATCCCAAGAGAATAGAGATGTGTTTTATTTGAGCAGTGGGGATGAATGGAGCAAAGGTCGGTTTGAGAGTTTGTTTTGAGTGTTCCCAAATTCTTCACAAAATCAAGGACGTCCATTGATTTCTGTCGTCAAGAGACAGGAGTGGCCACACCAGGCCATGAGAATAACAACTCTCTATCTCTAAGGCAGGATGTTTTAATAACTTCTGAGCAGAATCTACCACTCTTGCGATGGACATTTCAAAAGTCCTCTCCTATAATCTTCTATAAATGATCCAGATTGTTCAGAAACACATTTGAAAATAATCATTATTTTTGCAATTACGCTTGGTTACACTAAAAGGTGCAGAAATTGCCCACTTCAGCTTTAAAGGGAGCAGAAAGGATTCACTTCAATTCCTCTTCACTGTTACAGGCGGTCAAATATCCAAGTGCAGTAATTCTCTGCCATGGATTTGGACACTTTGCGGTAGTTCTTTACAGCTTTAAAGCTTCTAGACCCCAGAGACAAAGAAGATTAGTGTGTTGAGGGGGCCCAACCGTCAGCAAAAAACATCACAAAGAGGATTTCACACAGCGAGTGCTGGTTTAGTAAACAGGGGTGAGCTGGTAAAGATCCAACAGAGCCATAACATGTCTGTGGCAATACTTTATCTGATTAATGGCTCATGGTGGTGGAGGTACACAAAGGAAAAGTAGAAAAAAGACAGTCAGAGACGAAGAAAATAAAGACAAAGTATATAAAAGTGTTTTCTATTGTGCACTGTTTTCTATTAAGATTGTGCACTCTGACGGATGCAATTAGTTAATTCAGTAAAGAGATGCTTTAGACGCATTGTTTGTGAGTGTTTTTGACCAATTCATTAAAACATCTGACTCATAAAAGTTCTATGGTCACATTCTATGTTTGCTTTTGTGTACAGTTTTGCCATTGTACACAATATATTTGCAGCCATATTTATCACCCCTGTTTATTTTATTTTGCTGACAAAAATATCTGATAATAGGGTTGCCAAGAAAAAAAAGTATAGAATATAGTGTAGAAAGAACAGAGAGGGTGCTCTGCAAAGAACATTGCCTGGGTTTCGGCGAAATGCTTAACTTTTCTGAGAATTGTTTCTTTTTTATAGGATGGCGTATTCCAGCTTCAATTTCCATGCATACATGTGGACACTTAACTCCAGACTGCTGGAGGGAACAGATTGTGCACTTTAAGAACGTAAAGTATGCAGAAGCCTTGATCTGAGGGGGCAGTTACAGTACCTTAGTCTTAAGAGGCTGTATGGAGACACATGTAATTCTGATGTACAGTATGTATAGCCTATCCATCACACTTTTGTTATAAGAAGAGTCCGTGAATGAGTGTATAACAGCGGAAAGTGTTTACATAATTACTTAAACATCCCTGTGAGAGGGTGCTTTAGATCTGAAGGATTAGGAATATGTTTTTTTCAAAAAGAGGCAATAAAAATACAGAGGTGAGCGAGTGTGAATTTCCTAAAACGGACCACTCTGTCTCTCTAGGAAAAGTGAATTTGTTAATTTTAGGCAGGGTGATAGTGGACCGCCCACACACGGCCTCTAGGGAACAGCAAGCAGTGTCGTATCTCTGTAAAATTCCATGAAAACTCACAATAAACCCTGCTTTTCAACAAGAGTGACGTCACAGGACAGGGATTGTTTATCTGAAGTTGAAAAGAGGGAAAGTCACAGGCGTATAAATCACCATAATAATATAAACTAGAGAATTTCACATCTAACCACACATAAATCTGCAGGATCGCAATGTGACATTAATGTTCCTGTTTCCTCTTGAAGAGAGATGGACATTTAGGCTCAATACAGGTGCTTGTGTGAAGACAAACATGCTCTGGACATCATGCTAACGGCTGCAAATTACTTCAAATTAGCCTCAAATGAATATATATATATAAGCATAATTACTTCATTATTATTACAGCTTCAAATCAATTTTTTTTTATTAAAACGGTCTGGCTTCCTCTGAGGTTGCACATTTCATACATTCATATGTGATTTCAGAACATTCCAGTTTTTATCAGGCTTCAAACGTTCCGTCTCATTCCTTATTCTATTCTGCTGCCCAAGGAAGGAATTCCAGTTGGATAACTGGATGTGCTCTAAACTGAAAATGCTGCAGACTAAGAGATAAGATTACACCTCTTTTCAATGGAAATGTCCAATCAAAAATATGTGGCTTATGCGTGTGCATCTAAAGAAAGAGAATGGAATGAATTGTTAAGTTTACCTAAGAAAATACATCCTTTGTGGAAAGTATAAACACTGACACAAGGACTATCAGACTAGAGCTATTAATGTGAATTAAAAACATAATATGTATATATATATATATGTGTGTTTTTTAATTATTTGTAATTAAAGTAATTGATAAATAAAATAACTGTTTAATAAAAAAAAACATTAATGTACATGATATAAAATATAATTTAAATTTATATAAATTATATATATAATTATGCATATAAAACAATTATATAAAATTATTTATAAAATTAAATGTGTGTGTGTGTATAATAAAAAAATAATAATTGATTATGTTTTTGATTAGCATTAATAGCTCTGGTCTGATAACTTTGTTGTCAGGGATCAGTATCTCTTCCACAAAGAATAGACTTTCTTGGGTAAGCTTAATATGTTTGCCATGTTTAACTTAAGTTATTATAGAACTTTTTAAGTAAAGAAAAAAATTCATTCTGGAAAAAAAAAACTGCTTGCACAAATACATTGTATTGCTTTGTATCTTATTTTTATGTGCAAATATGGACAGGGAAAGTACAAATCTGAACTGACTGGGCCAGCACAAAAGCACTTATTGTGGTTTGTTTGAAGTCATTAATCCAGCTCCATATAAATCAGAATGGGAGCAATGCGGGCAGACACTAAATCTCTCTGTTGTGAGAGAACTGTAAAAGATTTGCCTGAGACAAGCAACTTGAGACAGATGGTTTCGTGTTATGAAGTGGCTCAAAATGTTCTAATGGAGCATAAATTTAAGACCTATTAATTGTCCTTAATAGACCCCATGTGTAAGCCTTGGCTTTGGGCACATGAACAAAAAAAAAACGATCTTATGTGGCTAAATTGGCTGTGGATGCTCAAAATCTGATCTCGATAAACCTCATCTCCAAACTGCATCAATATGAGAGTGTCATCTCTGTTCATCAATACAAACATTCCTAACAGATGCAGCACATCAAGGAGTCAGTCCGAGTGTAGAGGCGAGCTGCAGCCCGCTTCCACATTCTGACAGGAAGACTCTCTTCAAGCCAACGTTCCTGGAAATCAGACTGTACTAGAGATGGGTGGAGGGAACGGAGGAGGAGAATCAATGTGATGTTCCAACAAAAACAAGTGAACAGCACTGTGCTGGCTTGCTTCAAAAGCAAATTATTAAAAGTGCCTTCCTCCATCCCTCCGTGGGCGAGGCAGAGAGATGGCCAATTGCATGAGGAGAAGAGTCTGGCTTAGCCGACACT